CAATTCTGCTATCTAATCTGCCCCCTGTGTTTATTTATCCAGAGTGGGTTCACTATAATATAGGAGGTGTTATTGGCCAGATCACCAGGAAAAAACAGAGGGGTTAAAAGCTAAAGAAAACTAATGCAGCCAACACATCTAATGATTAGTAAGCTGCAATATATTTATATAATTTTTGGTTTGGGGTTTAGTATCACTTTAAATATTGTTGGCAAGTCTCTAAAGTATAAAGGTACCCATATGCCCAGTGCAGCTCGTTAAAATCCCTAGACAAGGTTAGGGCTTACATTGGGCCAAGGTGCTCCCACCCTACCCTCACATTATAGCACTCAAACATGGTAACTGACCATTAAGGTACTGAATGCCATGCTGTGAGGGGCAAGGGTGAGTTTTTCTAAGCATGGGAGCATGTGGCAGGTAGTTGAAGGCTGCTTACCATGTCTACCCACTGTGTGCAACGTTCACTTCATAGCTGGGTTTGTCAGGGCAAACCTGCAAAAAGAGAGAAATATCTGTTCATCAGCAAGAAAATTCCTGTTTGGGCTGACTACACAGAGCTCCTGCTGCACTGATGTATCAAACAACGTAGTCAGAACTCCATCTGCACAGCACCAAGTCCTACCCTGCATGTATACTTGTTTATTTCCCAGCAGAGTAATGCTGCTTCCTTGACTCCCAAGCGTCTGCCCACACATTGTGTATAGAAAAAAAATCTCTTGGGAGATATTATTCTCAAGGGTGTACCTACAGCAGTAGGAATGGAGCTCCCATTAGCTGTCCCTGCAAGACTTTTTCAAGCCTGTTGAAGTCATGGTTAGTAATAAAAGCTGTTTCTCACTACAGGAACAAGGTAAAACAAATAATGCTTGAACGTGCTCTACAGAGGGAGCTCGGAGGGTAAATTTGGGTAAAGCCTGGACATGTGCCTTTTTTCCCTTTTGAACCCTAAAATGTTTGATAGCTTTACATGTTTTCATGGCTGCATTTCTGACATCAAACATTCTGCTCACACCAAAGAACACAAAGCCCTACTTAACAGGCACAGGGATTTATATGTTTTTGGTTTCTCAGAAAAGTGCAAAAAGATGCAGATTCTGGTTGATGCCTGAACAAAAATGGTGCTGGTTTTATGGAGAGAAAAGCTGAATAGAAATGATGTACAGAGCTCAAGTGTTAGGCCCCTTTCATACGGGGGTATATCCGATTTGCTCAGAAGGGTTCTGTCCCCTGATCTCCTGCTGAGCAGGCAGATGACAAGTCCGAGTCCGCTCAGTTTTTGCAGAGCGGACACGAACTGAGTCCGTTCTGCTCTATAGGTGGCCAGGTTCAAAACAGACTGGCTGCCTGTTTTCCACCCGACTACCTCCGAGCCACCTACATGGAGGAGAATGGATCCTCTTGTGTTTGATTTTAGAGGAGCGAATCGGTGGTAGGCATTTACACCTGCTGGTCCATAGGTATGAATGAACCATATGGTCAGGTCTGTCTGAAAAACTGACAGGCGGACTTGATCAGAATGGTTGTGTGAAAGGGGCATTACTCCTGACAAATGCACATGATATGAAAAAGTATCCTATGCAAGATCAGATAGATTTTACAAAATTCTGACTCCACAACATTAGCGTAAGCCTTTCTTCTTTCTCTTCACCCCTCTGTCGTTTCATTCAGACACCGGAAACAAGTGTGTAAGTGATCTGGAGCTTACACAGGGCTGTTTTTTTTTTATCCTAACGTCGGCAGCTAATCAGAATGGGGAGAGGGGAATGTCGAGTATGAGGTGCTGTGGGGGTTGGAGGGCTACGCAGGTGAATGATTGAAGGAAAGGTTCACTTTATGATGCAGCTTACCAGTCTTTGGATGTGCTGGCATTTGTTTTCTTCTTTTGAGAATATGTTCCTTAACTCTCACCTGATGAACTGCAGAATGTTGCCTTCTCTCCTTTTCTCCATAGCATAGGTGGTATTCTGTAATCCATAACAGAGTGCTAGGAATAAAATATGATAACAGTTGGCAGCCCACAATATTTGCTGGTCACAGGTGTTTGAGCTCAGCAGCTTTTTATTATTTTTTTTTAATTGATTCATTCAACCATGTCCATGCTGTGACATGTTGCAGCTCATTGTGGCATGCTGTGTTGCAATAAACTGTGTGCCAGTATCGTTCATCATTTTTTCACATTACCACACACAGCAATGCAGACTCCAGTTTTGCGTTTATTTTTGATTTTCAAATTTTTTGCAGAAAAGCACAATATAAAATTCATGAATATGTTATTACCTCAGTGCAGTTTTATCTTTTAGATTTAGTTTTTAAGTTCTGTTGTGTGCACTACAAATGATACAATTTATGAAAATTCTATGTGAAATATGATATATTGTGAAAAATTGCAAAAATGGTCTGGCCACCTGAGGTTAAATTTGGAGTGCAAGGTCTGGCAGTGTAAGGGTTAAACACTTTTCTAAAGTTCTCAGTAGACTACAGAACACCTCCCCCCCATTAAGAGAAGAAGTAAGGGCTTTGAAAATTATTCTGTAGTCTTAAAATGCTTCCATTCTAAGGATGCTGCTCCTCTATAGAAACAATGCAGTGAGTGAGCCATGTCACCCTAGAACTGGATGCTTGTTATTGGCAGGACCACTACGTGAAAAAGTGAAGGCCTGAAAAAAGAAAGTGAACAAAGCCACCATATCTAAGAACTGGTAAACTGCAATTTTGGCTCTTAGGTTCACGTATGTTTTGTGCACAATACACAGGCAGATCTTACAATAACCACGGCATTTATTTTTTTATCCCCTAGGGCAGGGGTGGGCAACTGTGGCCCTCCAGCTGTTGGTGAATTACAAGTCCCATCATGCCTCTGCCTTTGGGAGTCATGCTTCTAACTGTCAGTTTTGCAATGCCTCATGGGACTTGTAGTTCTACAACAGTTGGAAGGCCACAGTTGCCCACCCCTGCCCTAGGGTAGATTTATCTCCCTTGCCTTTGAAGCCCGATCCACGTGTGGATTGCGCTCCCAAGGCAACTGACATGCGGTAAGGAAGTGATGCAAAGCTTCCTCACCGCCTGAAAATCACATACAGATGTGTGGCATTTGCGGTGCTTCCCCATTGACTTGCATGTGTAGTGTTCAGCTTGCTGCCCGCCAATCCCTACTTGTCAGGTCAACTTAGACGCGGTTGTGAAGCATCGCAGCTGCAGCATGTAAACATCCCCTTCTGCTGCCTATTGCAGCTTAAGAGAAGGCAATTGGTGGGCAGCAAAAACATGGCTCGACCACGCATTTTTGATGCCCTCCCCCCCAACTTCAAGTCTAAACAAGACCTTGGCTATTGTTATACTGGGTACACACAGTGAGGAGGCCAGTTCCTTTTTTGTATAAAAAAAGGGGCAATCAATAAACAGATTTTCTAGCATGCTGAAAGATGATTTTTAACTGTAATATCAGACAGTGCTAAAAGGAAATCTCAATTACTGGACTGTATACAGTTTCACTTAATTCTGTCAATTTATTTAGTTCCCTGTTCACGTGTTCATTTTGGTGCACTTAAATGTACTTCTTATTTCATACAAAATGCACAGTGGGTTGTGTTATGGTCAATGGCATTGTTCTTAACTCTCCTTTTCCTACCAGTGTTTTTTTCCGCAGCAACAGCTGGGAAAGCACCATGTTACTGTGCGTCGAGGTTAACTGCATTGCAATATGAATGGCACACATTTCGCACATAATTCACATTACTACAACGCCACGGTGTGAACGAACCCTTCATGTGAAAATACCCCCTATTTTGCTGAGGAAAAAAAAAACTCTATTTGAAATGTATATTTTGCAAGTATTTTAGGAAACCTTAGTATAGTATACTGTTCTGCAGATATTTATAGAATCTTTGCTAGAACGTCTTAATAGAAGGATCTGATAGCCATTGTAATAACACCTGATAGCCATTGTAATAAGACCCCCCCCCCCCCCCCCCCCCCCCCCCCCCTCGCCGCCCCCCCCCGCCACCACCCCCCCCCAGCCCCCCCCCCCCCCCCCCCCCCCCCCCCCCCCCCCCCCCCCCCCCCCCCCCCCCCCCGATGTCCTTACATGTACAAAATATGCAGAATGTATCCCAACAAATATGGAAGTCATAGGGAAAATTAATATGTTTTCTCGTCACAAATTCTTCTCATGGTCCTGAAACTTGAAAAGGTTTGAAAACAGTTTCTTTGGTGTATAATTTTTTTTTTTTAACATTGCATTTTGTATGTTATACTTTCAGACATGGAACTACTATACAGTATATCAACATATGGCAGTATTGTGTGTGCATTGAAATCGCGAATACTGTAATATCCTAGAAAGCTTTATTTTGATATTTTTCATCTGCAAGATCTCTGTGTGCAGTTCAACCTATTAATCACAAGTGTAAAATTGTAAAGCGTTTGGCACCTTAAACTGTTCTGAGACTTGCTGTATGTGTAGGTATGTCATCAGACATTATATTCTCTAACCTCTCCAGGAGCCATCGTGCAAATATTACAGGTAGGTCATAGGGCATAAGTAATCTCTGCTGTGATTGGACCAAGATCTAAGCGCCTTGTGTAGTCCCACCCAGGTGACAGAGAGAAAGAGAGGGAATAGTGCTTTACCCAGCTTGTGTTTTTGTTGTTTTTTTTTTTTCTTTGGGACGTTAGTATCGTTACATTGTAGTCAAGTCTTATCACAATTGCAGCTTTTAATTTTTGCTTCCTCAGTGATCTTTTTAAAACCTGTACAATAAACCTAATGGGTTGGTCAAGTGTAGATAAATTATCTTGAAAATATGCTGATGGTTTTAATTGTCCCAGAATCTGTTTGGAATATTTCAAAGAACTGATTTTTTTCTTTTAAAGCCAAAATAACGTATCTCATATTCCTAAAGCAATTAACTTATCTTCAAAAGTGCCAGACACTGCAATTAGCCTCATACGCATGTATGCAAAAATTATATTAAAACTGTTTGTCTTCATTGCTTAAACAGATGATTTGCAGAGTACTTCCAAAAGCGCTGTGTGCAATGGAACATCAGAAAGTGACAAAACAAATGCTAAAAACGGCACCAAAGCGAAGCCAGATCACAAATCTAATGAACTGATACAGAACGGTTTAAAGAAAAAATCAAAAAGCAAAAAAAAAATGATCAGCTTTAAACGAGACTCAGAAAGCGATGAGTCTGCTTCGGATGCAGGCAGTGCTCTGGATGAAGACTACAGCAGTGGAGATGAAATAATGGAGGAACAACACAAAACTAAAATAGTTAGCTTCCTTCAAGATGCTTCCCTGGATGAGCTCTCTCTGATCCCTCAGTGCTCTCTAAAAAAAGCTCAGAGGATCACTGAGCTCCGGCCCTTCCATTCTTGGGATTCTCTGGTAAGTTTTCAGTGTACAGTACTTTTTTTTAATATTCCTTTATGCTCATAGGCAAGAGGTGTCTACAACCTTAAGGAGGCACAGATGGGTGGCCTTTTCCTGAGTAAGCTAACACTATATTCCTTGTAAGCCAATAGCAGTTCATATGACCTAATTTTGAATAAATTAAGGGGTGATTTTCCTGAAAAACCCTTGCTGATTGGCTGGCAATGCTGTCACTCATTCAGCAACCTAGGAACTTGGTTCAGTGCTTTGCAAAAGCAGACATTAGAGCTTTCATATGGGAAGAAGAACTTTGCCAGTCTGCTCTGAGCTGTTTTACAGGAAACTTTTGCAGCAAGCAAGAATGCGGCAGGATTTTTATCTCAACTGCGTCTGCCTAAAGAAACAGCTGCAGGAACTGCTCCATGTTTCAGGATGCCAGCATTATTTTTCAAGTTTCTTCCTAAAACAGTATCTTTTCTCCATTGTACTACATGCCTGTTACCTCTGCTGTGCAAGGGAATTTCTCCTATGTTTCTTGTGCTTGCACAAAACTTCCATTTTCTGAGTGAATGTTAACTTACTTTACTTAGCAGAGGGCTCTAAAATGAGTCTCTGGAAAAGTGAAATTTGTCACACTGATTGGTAAGTACATCAAACATTATTATACACATTTTTCTTCTATTAATTGATGTCATTTCTCTGTGCCAGTTAAATTTTTTTTCATATATATATATATATATATATATATATATATATATATATATATATATATATATATATATATATAATTTTTTTTTTTTTTTTTTTTTCTCGTATTTTTTTTTTTTTTTTTTTTTTTTTAATCTTTTAATTTGAGTGCAAGTGCTAATTATTAAAGTGCACATTTGCAGGCCTCGGTCGGTATAATGCGCTGTGACTTGCAAATCACTCTTAAAACTTAGTGTAGTTTCAGAAGAATATTGCATTTTGATGGATTACCATGTGATGCGCTAAAGTGGGCATGGTTTCTAGATATAATGGTTATCTGGGCCATTTTTTAGCTATTCCTTCATGAAAACAGAAACATTTTTTTTTTGTCCTTTATGTTTTACAAAAGAGGACGGAGAAAGGTAATTGCTAAAGCTGCAGTGCAGATTCACAAGCCGCTCTTTGCACAGGAAAGGATCGTTTTGCCTGGAGCTTTTGGCTGTTCTGACAACATCTGTCTGATAGGCAGCTTGCAGCCGAACGTGTTGGGCTTTGTCTTTGCTATTTTTTTTATAAAACTATTTGCTGAAGGGCTGTCTTTGCTTCAGATGTCTCTCTTCAGTTTTTACCCCCTTTGGCAAAAGTGAAGAAAAAAATGATAATGTTATAAACTCTGTACTGACCTGCAGTGAATTGAAAGGCTTTTTTTCTATCCTTTTATTTGATTGAACATGTCTTTCATAGAACCAACGCCCATACGTTTGGTTGCTGTAACTACATGCCCAGAGATGTTGCTAATGCACACAGAATTCTTATTTCTCCTAATAGCTTCATGTTGCCAAAGAGTGAATAACATTTACTTAATTCTGTCTAAATTTTCCTTTTAACATTTAATGTTTGTAACTTATTTCCTGTGCAGATGTACACATTAACTTGTTAAATAGATTTGTTCACTACAAAATACAATTTTACAGTGTACTTGAGTTTCTCTAGATGTTTACAAATTGCAAGCCTTCATTTTTCAAATAGTATGTCAGATTTAAATCCTTTATTGCCCAAAGATTAAAAACCACATGGTTGTTAAAGGTGTGATGTAAAGCTGTGCTAAGCAAAGATGAGGGTTTTTTTTCTTTTAAAGGTATCTGGAAGCAGACGAAACCTATGACCTGTAGCTATCAATCATGTGTTAATATTCTTTTTTTTTACAACATGATAAATATGCTTCTGCTGGCCATACACGTAGCAAACCTCAGGCAATTTTGGAGGCTTTTCTTCTGTCTTTGAACACATAGTTGCATAGAGTTGTACATAATTGCCTGGAATTGTTTTATCTATCTATCGATCTATCTATCTATCTATCTGTGTTTTTGTAATGTCTACAGCAGTGAAATTCTGCTCAGTTAACTGTAGCTTATGCTGGGTATTTTGGTGAGAGCCTGACAATGTTTATATCAGTTAAAGCTTATCAGGTCCTCGTCTAACTAATTGCTGGCATTGAGAGAAAAAAAAAAGCCCCTATTCTAATAATCCTTATACTCCTCTAAATCTGCAGCCATGAGATTTTCTGAGCCCGTGTGTTCTCTTTTTCTTTTTACCAAAGGAAGAGATGGCCTTTAAAGGCAAAGTTCACCTTTTTGTAAAAAAAAAAAAAAAAAAAAAAATTAACACATCTTTTTGCAGATAAATTTTGCATTTATTATGTGTTCCTTCTGTAAAGCATTGCACCTGTGATCAGCAGATCATAGGTACAGTGCCAGGCTCCAGCATACTGTCAGCTGTCTACCCATACCTCCCATATGGGCAGACAGTTGCTAAATCCCAGAAAGAATCAAAGAACTACAAGAGAGTTGACCAGTGCCTTTGCAGTTCGAGAACTACAAGCTGCCTGCCATAATGGATGACAGTAGTTGTAGTTCATGCACAGGAAATGGAAACTGTGGATGATGTGGCTGTGTGGGCAGAGCCCCTCACGGCTGCGCTGTTTTTAAAGGGATTCTAAAGGTTTTTTTTTAAATGACAAACATATCTATACTTATTTGCTGTGTTTAGTGGTTGTACACAGAGAAGCCCAGATCCTCCTCTTCTTGGGTCCCCCGCTGGCTCTCCTAGCCCCTCCCTTTTGTCGGGTGCCCCCACAGCAAGCAGCTTGACATGGGGGCACCTGCTGCTCCATGTGTCCATTCACACTCAGAGCTGAAACTTGAATAAAAGAAATGCAGCGCTCTTAAAAAGTGAGTAAATATAATAATAAAACACAGTCCGGTGAAAACAGTGCTCCTTGATTCCCAGTGCAAATGGTAGAATTTTACACTAACTAGAACGCGCATAGGTAATACGCATGTGTATATATATATCCTGAAGATCCCCTCTCCACTCAGGTCTGGTCAGGAAAATAGCTGGGAAAGATGGAGATCCTACGCCCTCATGTGGTGAGAAAATAATCCGGCAGGTCAGAGCAGTATCAATCTGGATAAGCCTCCAAAGGAACTGGCACAGGAATCCCCAGGGCTGCAAGGATGGAAGAAGCTCCTCACAGGAGACATAGGGAAGCACTCATAGTGTAGTAGGTAAAACTTTTATTCCAAAAAAACACAGGTGCATATTTGAGTATTACATAGCCAAGTATGAGCAAACACACTGACCCTTTAAGAAGTCAAAATGGCCGCCGGGCCTCCTCGTGGCACCGACGGCTTAGTGTCAACGGCGTCCTGGGTCCCAGGACGCCGTTGACACTAAGCGTCGGTGCCACGAGGAGGCCCGGCGGCCATTTTGACTTCTTAAAGGGTCAGTGTGTTTGCTCATACTTGGCTATGTAATACTCAAATATGCACCTGTGTTTTTTTGGAATAAAAGTTTTACCTACTACACTATGAGTGCTTCCCTATGTCTCCTGTGAGGAGCTTCTTCCATCCTTGCAGCCCTGGGGATTCCTGTGCCAGTTCCTTTGGAGGCTTATCCAGATTGATACTGCTCTGACCTGCCGGATTATTTTCTCACCACATGAGGGCGTAGGATCTCCATCTTTCCCAGCTATTTTCCTGACCAGACCTGAGTGGAGAGGGGATCTTCAGGATATATATATATATACATGCGCATTACCTATGCGCGTTCTGGTTAGTGTAAAATTCTACCATTTGCACTGGGAATCAAGGAGCACTGTTTTCACCGGACTGTGTTTATTATTATATTTACTCACTTTTTAAGAGCGCTGCATTTCTTTTATTTATGTATTTTGGACTTTTATGTGTTTTTCCTATAATGTTCAGCTGCTTTGCATTGTAGATGAGCGCTTACTATACACCTTTATTATTCTCTAGAGCTGAAACTTGGCCCCACCTCCTCCTCATTGGCTCACTGGCTGTGATTGACAGCAATGGGAGCCAGTGTATCGCGCTTATGTCTCAGCCAATGAGGAGAGGGAGTCCCGGGATAGCTGTGACTACAGTACACATAGCTGGATCGTGAGGGGGCTTCAGTGAGTATTAGGGGGGGATGCTGCACCGAATAGGTTTTTTTTTTTTTACCTTCATGCATGGAATGCATGAAGGTAAAAAACCTTGAGCCTTTAGAACCACTTTAAATTGTGACAGCAGGTGCTGGGAGAAGATTCCCCCACCCACTGTCACATTGGATGATCAAGGAGGTGCAGGCAGGTGCTCTTTGGTAACCCTTAATATGAATGTAACATGTTATCAATGGTGAACTTATCCTTTAAAGTGATTTAAAACTTTTGCAGTGTTATAGCTTGTAATATTTTTTCCCACTTGTTACCTTTCCCTTTGGGTTTTTCTTTGCAGCTTTCTGTAGAATATACTGTCTTGATTTGCTGCTATAGAACCTTTTTGTAATAAAATTGATGCTGGGGAAAAAATATGCCGACATCCTTCTTAAAACAGTATTAAACTCAACAATTGAAAAAATTGAAACGTGCAAGGTTTTTATAACAAAAGAGAGCCTGCTAGTCTCTTCTGTCATAAATGCCTCTCCCGGCCTGCCAACGGTGATGTAATCTGAGCTGAGCATGCGCAGCTCAGACCACATTTACAACTCCGGCTCTGTGCCATAATGTAGTGACTTCTGTGCCCTCATGCCTACGGGATCAATTCATTATGGCAGTTATGTCATCACAGCCTAGCCATTCAAGTTGCCAGAGAGAACAAATGCAGGAAGCAGGGCCGGGCAAAGATGATGGAAGCACCTAGGACCTACTGGAGCAGTGACAGTGCAGCTCTGGAGATCTGTATGACAGGCAAGTCTGTCTTAATGTGCAAATATGGAGTGCCTACTAACACATTATGACATAAACTTCCTGGGAACCAATTAAAAAA